TATTATTGCAGGGTCGACCTTACAGTATAAAGCACTGTGAGGTGACTGTTGTTGTGATTTGGTGTAGAAATAAAACTGGATTGAATTGCTGTCACATGAAAATAAAAATCAATAAAAATGAAAATTAGTTACAAAGTAGCGTGGATTGTTGCCATCAATAATAATAACATGACAAACCTTTAAAACTAGTGTTTACCTTAAAGGCATATTTCCTGCTGATGTGGTCATCCACCGACAACATCGATATGTGAAAACTGGGCAGCAGGATGCTTCCCAGGATGCTGTCCTCTTTCTCATCTGCAGCAACGAAAGAGAAAAGTCTGAAACATATTTATGGCAGCAATCTGATTCAATAAGGTTTCAGACTGGGAGTACGAGTTGAAGTTGCTGGCCATGACAACGTTTTTACCACCATAGACAGATTCTTTGAAATGAAAGAGCTAAATAAAGGTGTACTCACGCTTGTAATCAATATTGAAAGGACAGTTTTCATCACAGAGACTGAAAACTATTATGATGCCGTGTGAGGGATAACAAGTGTTTAAAACCTTTGCTGTATATTTATTACGACATCAGGCAAATATACTACGCAGAAATAAAGGCCTCGTATGTAAACAGTGAATATCTTCCACATCTGGATATTTGTGTGAAAGGTAAACACGGCTGACAAGCCTTGAACTTTTCTTAAAGTGCCAACATGTGTGTTTGTGTGTCCTCACCACGGTAGTAGAAGAGGCACATGTCAGACAGAACGAACCACCTCTTCTTCCACAGCTTCATGCCTGTACTGTCCTGAAAGGGTCAAAGGTCATCAGTGAGTAAAATGTAACAATTATAGAGAACGTTATTATTTTCAAACACACATGTTTAGTAATGGTCACAGCAACGATTCTCCTTGATACGTACAGACCCATACACGATTAAATTTTTATTACATTAGGTACACTAAGCTGGTCCACTGACTGGTGAAATATTCAACACAATCAATATTTTGACTGGAAATCACTCAGAGACAAAAGTCATCTATATGGTGGCAGTCTGGACACCAGATCCAGAATTCCACAAATTCAACGACTAACCCTAACCCTCATTACCTGTTTGTAAAGCCAGCTGCTCCTCACCACTGGGGCATTGGGGTTCCTCTTGATTGAATTGGACCTCTTGCCAAAGTTGTGGACTTTTCTGGAAGATCTAGAAGGCTGTTTGAAGACGTTGATAGATGATGAATGAGGAGAATTTGGATGCATAACAACAGCTTCATTTAAATTTAAATTTAAATGCACACCTGCACACCTGTAGACCTGTAGACAGAATAAAACTACGAGCTGGTCACAGTGAAAACTGCCTTCTTGAAAAAGACTAAATTTACAGTTCAGTATTAAACTATAAATGAACTACATACAAAGTGTGTTTGAAATGTCTCACAGACCTGAACGTGCTCTGGAAGCCGTTTGTAATTCTTACCTTGTTTTAACAGCAGCTCACCACAAACCAGCACAAACAGACATTTTGGACTTTTAACTGTATTTCCAGAAGTTTTACAGCTTTTCCTGCTGATAAAATCCTCTTTTATGGTTCACACAGCAGCGTGATCAGGAATAAACAATTAAATGACAGAAAAGTGTCTCACATGTCTCTCTGACTGGCTACAGGTTTGG